ATGAATAGATCATAATGGGAGAAGCATATAAATGGAGAGCATTTTACAAAATAATATCGTGTAATGCATTATTCGCTATGTAAACCACTATCATACGTATCACCTATTCGTCTAAGTGACGAATTAAAGTCTAGTTAGGTGATACGTAACGAAGTCAACGTATCACCTTTTGATTTCGTCAAGATTGTTATTAGGGTGATACGTACGTAGACGTATCACCTTTTGATTTCGTCAAGATTTTTATATTATTTATTTTATTTATTTATTAGGTGATACGTACGTAACGTATCACCTTTTGATTTCGTCAAGATTTTTTTATTATTATTTATTTATTTATTTATTATTAGGTGATACGTACGTAGACGTATCACCTTTTGATTTCGTCAAGATTTTTATTATTTATTTTATTTATTATTATTTATATTATTCTTCCTCCTCGAATTTGTTCGCAGGATATCTTAAGACTGAATAAAGCCATTATCATGAAACTTGCCATGATGATAGATCTTAGTCTAACTTAGAACTGCGTGACTTTTTTAGAGAGTCAAATTATCGTGCGTCATCCAGGCGCCATTTTTGTGAAAATCAACTAATGATCCATATCTTCATAACGGAAGAGTATTTCTCATTCATAATTATCACGATTAAGATAAATATCCGTCCGGTCAAGTTGAGGTCAATAAAAGTGCACAAATGCGCGCGTGCGCGTTCGTCCGCGCGTTTACGCGCGCGCAAAAATTTAAAATGCTCCAAATCATTCCAAATTTTTTTTGCATACGTTTCAGGCCATATGGAGCATTTGATAAAAAAATTACGCACACGCGCATGCGCGCGCGTTTTCGCGCGTACTGGCATTTTGCAACATAGAATCGCCGATTAATTTCTGTCATCATATTCGGTACATTTTTCCAAGCATTTTGATAATTTGTTCACCTTTTATTAACGCAATAAGCGTCCGTCAAAGTTGACAGCACGCGCGGATTTGCGTTTATCTTTATCCACAATACATGGGCAAAAACATGCCTATATAAAATTCATTGTAACTCTTTAGAATAGATAGAAACTCCTAATGTTGTCATATTTATATAGATTTATGAGTCGGAGATATGATTTCATGTCTCATTTTATCCTCAATTAACTCATGACGTCATCATAATGGCCTCCAAACTCAAATTTTTAATTTGCATATTATGACGTCAGCATTTTTTGTGGAAAATTGATTGTATCTCTGTAAATATGGATCAATTTTCTTTTAATTTTGATATGTTCTAGCTGAGACAATTTTCTAACAATGTATATTCACATTTTTTATTTTGACAAAAGTATCATGGTGTATTTTTGCATTAAATGAGGCATGTCAATTTTTCGCATTTTGCGTGTATTCTCTATGGGACATGACTTTTTCTCAAAACTGGATTTTACACTCCTGTCTTTCGCGAGCAAAATCTCCGTTGTTTTAGCTTTGTTTTCGCTGAGCTTTGGATTGTTGTAGCTGAGACAATGACTATCAAAAGTGTGTCCTTTATTTTTCGATTAGATGCCAGAATTATGCTCATATTTCACTTGCAAAGTAGGATGTCTGAATTCCATTTTCCCGTTTAACGTGTAATCGCTATGGGAGATGTTTTGGTATATCGGTAACGCACTTGACTTCCAACCTCGAGATCCCTGTTCGAGTCCGGGTGTCTCCAACACTTTTTGTTCTCACTTTTTTTTTCCTTTGACCTTCACTGTACCATCTCCTTTGATTATTTAAAACACGTAGATTCGCAAATAATGTCATAAATAACGCTTTTTACTTTAATCCATTACTTTTTGCGTGTAATCCCTATGGGAGATGACTTTTTTCTAAAATCTGGAGTCTACATTCGGTCTTTTGCGAGCAATATCGTCGTTATTTCGGCTTGGATTTTGTTGATTTTTGAGTATGTTGTAGCTGAGACTATTGCTATCTAAATCAACCCTCATTTTTCAATAAGATGTCATGATCGCGCTCATGATCATGATCATGATCATCATGATCATCATTATCATAATGATGATAATCATTTATCAGTTACATTTTCATTTCTTTGAATAAGATAAAAATCGTCAAAAGGTGTTCTTCATGATGTAAATTAGAGTCAAATGTGTAACTGGTTACTGCACAGGGTCAAAGGTCATATATTGTTTCAGTCTATCTTCCCTAGATCCATGATGATCAAGGAGACACAATTATCTTGACATATGACTAGATCATAATGGGAAAGCATATGAATTGGAGAAGCATTTTAACAAAATAATATATCGTGTAATGCATTATTCGTTATGTAACCATTATCATACGTATCACCTAATTCGTCCTAAGTGACGAATTAAAATCTAGTTTTATTATTATTCTTCCTCGAATTTGTTCGCAGGATATCTCAAGACTGAATAAAGCCATTATCATGAAACTTGCCATGATTATAGATCTTAGTCTAACTTAGAACTGGCGTGACTTTTCAAAGACTCAAAGTCATTTTGACGTCATCTAGGCGCCATTTTTGTGAAAATCAACTTAATTCATATCTTCATAACGGAAAGTAATTTTTCATTCATATTTATCATGAATAAGATCAATATTCGTCCGGTCAATTTCAGGTCAATAACGTGCGCAAATGCGCGCGGGCGCGTTCGTCCGCGCGTTTACGCGCGCGCAAAAATTAAAAAATGCTCTAAATCATCTCAAATTTTTTTTGCATACGTTTCAGGCCATATGGAGCATTTGACAAAAAAATCATGCACACGCGCATGCGCGCGCGTTTTTTGTGCGCACTAGCATTTTGTAACATAGAATTGCCAAATTTTCTATTTCAGCGTATTTGGCACATTTTTCCAAGCATTTTGATAATTTTGTTCACCTTTTAATAACGCAATGAGCGTCCGTCAAAGTTGACAGCGGGGGCGCGCGGATCTGCGTTTTCTTATCCCAATATGGGCAAAAACATACCTATACAAAATTCATTGTAACTCTTCAGAATAGATATGAACTCCCAATATGTTTTCATATGTTGATAGATCATGAGTTGGAGATATGATTTTTATGTCTCATTTGATCCTCAATTAACTCATGATGTCATCATAATGGCCTCCGAACTCAAAATTTAAATTTGCATATTATGACGTTTGCATTTTTTTGGAAAATTGATTGTATCTCTGAAAATATCGATTGTTTTTCTTCAAAATTTTGATATGTTTTTAGCTGAGATAATTTCCTACAAATATTTGACAAAGGTATCATGGCGTATTTTTGCAATTAAAGGAGGCATGTCAATTTTTCACATTTTGCGTGTATTGTCTATGGGACATGACTATTTCTCAAAACTGCATTCTACATT